GTGTGTGTATAGTCAAAGCAGAGCACAAGACATCAGAGTAAAAGACACAGGGTGGCAATTTATCAAAACTGGAGCAGGCAGAATCTGAAGCAGCTGCCCATGGCAACCAATCAGCATCTCTCATTTTCAAAGCTTAACTGAAGAGAGAAGCTGATTGGTTGCCATGGGCTGTTTGCTCCAATTTTGATGAATTCCCCTCATAGTTCAGTAGAGGAATCCCTGGAACATGCATTGAAAATGTTCACTTGTAAAATTCAATTGTGAAAGTAAAATTCAACCTTAAATTTGGTTGCATGCTTTTGCTGTAAAGAAAATTGCCGGCTGGGAGGATGAACTTCTGATTTAATCATGACACAGTACAGGGAGGCTCCATACTATCGGTTAACCTCCAGGCACAGGGGCAAAGATGTACAGCAGGGGTAACAAAATGCCATCCCTCCAACTGTGATGAAACTGCAAATCCCAACATGCATCCTCCTCTTGAAGTCAATAAGCCTGTGGCTTTTGAAATCTTTATCCTGCTGGGATCTTGAATCAACCATGGAAGTGTCTCTGACAGTTATTTGCAGTGCCACTCCTACAGTCTAATGGAACTTCTCCCAGAACAGCACCAAGGTTTCATGCCTAATATACAGTATTGTGAATGTTGGATGCAGAGCTATAATGTAAAATGTAAGTCATGTAGAGTAATAAAAGGAATGCAAAATCGTTCAGGGAAAAATTTTAAGAGCGCATACATTTAGTTTAGGAACAACACTTCTTAGCGACAACATGCCTAAATATATCCAAGGTCCAGTATTAAAGTGGACCTTCACCACCTTCCATTCAAAATCGCATTAGCATTCACATCTGCATGCTGATAGGAAATCCTTACATTCATTAGTTCAACAAACATTTTTTTTTTCTCTTTTACTTATAATTATTGTTTTTCCACTTCCTGGTCCTCTTTAGGGCCTGGCATTAGTAATGTTCCTAAGAGTTACATTCTGGGAAGGTTACATCAACAGTGCATTGCTGGGAAATCTTATCTGTAAACTGCAAAGTCTAACGAGGTCCCAGGGAAAGTCCTTTTTCTCCGAGATGATGTGCATGGTCACATGTCCTAGTCACACGTGCGAGGGTTCCAGGAAGTAAGGGAGACGGATTAATTTGCCCTTAGAAAAAAATGGCCACTTTGAGAATAATGAGCATGAAAAGAAAAATAAGGTATGCAAAGAATACAAAGCCTGCAATTATCTATACGTATCTATTTGCAGATTGTCATTACTAAACATTTCTAAAGGTGTATTTGTTGTCATTTTAAAGATATGGGTAAAGTTCCTCTTTAAGGTTTCGCGAATAAACTTATTTTGAGAAAACCTGTACCTTTTAATACATCTGTCTCTGAATGACAACCCCCCCTTCCCCAAGTGCAGCCTGTTGTGAAAAATATAAACCTTCCTCCTAATTGCAGCAATATTTACTGTGTGGCACCATGGCAGTCGATCCTCTGGTGGGTTCTGCTAGCTAAGTGGATCAGCTGCAGTGTGCACATGGCAATTGGTGGTATAGTGCTTGAAAATATTATGGCTTGAGCGGCAGAAGGGGAGCATTGCCTTGTACTGATTAAATGACAGTTGTTCTTTTACCTGTTATTTGTCAGCATTATGCCAATGAGCGTAGACATACTGCCATTGGTGGGATCCACCTTTTTTTTACCTATTCACATTATACCAAGAACACAGACATATTTTGGTGGCATAGTGTGAGTGTGTCTGCCTATCTGTACACATTCGGACGCTGCCACCAAAGGCTATATATATATTACTTGTTTTCTTCACTTCTGTTGACTTTCTTTGATATTCTGATGTGCATATTAGTAAATGTTGCATTGGTGGCAGTGCTTTGATTGTGCAGCGGCTGATTGAATGCTTTTAAATGTAGATTTGTGGTTCTATTAGGCACAGTATAAATTACAGTATTTTGAATCTATTCTATTTATCAAAATGTGTTCATTTTTATGTAATTGTATAATTTATATTTCTATACAATAAATACATTTTATTTGTATTTATATCTTGTAAATCTCTTGTAACTAAGCAGTCTCTCCTAATGAGCTTGTAACATATCAGCAGCTCCCAGCGATCTATTATGTGGGCAGACTTTTGTAACGTACAAAATGTAATACAGTTTCCTGGAACATATACAAGGTATTTTTCTGTGCTAGTATGCCACATGTGTATTATGTAAAAGCTTCAAGCACTCAAATGAACCCACAGTTCACCTAAATAAAACTCATATAAATATAACTTAGATTCGTGCTAAAAGTAAAAAAGAAACCTATCAATACTATGGAAACACCTCTAGTGGTTCAATATGCGTATCAACAAAGACAGCTTAACTATAATTATTCTTTCTGCAAAAAATGTAATAAAAGGTATCTCTGTGCGTCTTGTCATAAATTCTAAACTCCCTCCTGTCCCTTTCACACAGACGCCTTCAGTTCTGATCAGCAGTGGATCAGTGCACAGGTCCCCTGCTGATCGGAGCAGTTCGGAATGATGTCACATCCGTGTCTGTCCACTTGTTTCCTCCATCACAAATGAAATTACCAGACACATGTTGATCTATTGAGAGCCGGTTGCAAATTGACGCGTCTGTTTATATCAGATTACCTCTGATCTGCCATGATCAGGTCCACCAAAATATTTTTCCAGACCTGGCCGGAGTCGGAGGGGGTAATCGGATGTAAACACGAACACTGGGCTTCTGATCAGATCTGTGTAAAAAATCGACGGGTGGACCTGATCAGAATGCCCATGTGAAAGGGCTTCAACTGTTATTTGTTGTTCAAACACATGTAACAAAAGTAATCAGTGTGTTTCTTAAACAAAAATCTCTGGAAATCTTAATCCTTCTTACAGAGGGCTCATAATGCTAATATAAACATAAAATGTGACAAATCCAGTGCTCAAATACTAGAAACAAATCCTTTTTTTGGATAGGATACACGTTATCTAAACTTCTAGATACTCCCTATAAAAAAGCAAATCTTTTTGGAGTTCAGGTCCAGTCAGACACGGTGCAGAACATGTTTTTTTATGTACATACAATATATTGCCTTTTATCTGTTTTAAGCAGATGAGTTATTGAAGGATTTCATTCTGTATTTTCAGTCCTTGAGTTCCAGATCTGTGCAGTGATCAGTGAAAGAGCATCTAGGAAAATAATTGAATAACGAATAGAAACTGAATGAAACTTCATTCCTTGTTTAAGTGAACTATGATGCTAATAAATGCTAATTACAGGAGGATTAAAACTGCAGTGAAACAGCGTGTGTGTGTGTTTTTACAGGTTTTATGAGCACACTTCCATTTTCACATGGGGGACTTTACAGTGAATGCTTACAGGGTTTCTTCTCAGATATGTGACCTTATTAGTATGCTATTACTATTTAACATACATTAGTAAATATCACCACTAAATGCACTGGTATAATTTCCTTCTGGGAAAGTTTTTTGATTTAATGCTTTTCTGCATTTTCTAATTTTGTATTCCTTTTTTTTCCCCCCAGCATCAAAATGGTTCTGATGTGGACCAGCGGAGACACATTTAAGACTGCATACTTCGTTTTGAATCAAGCTCCTTTTCAATTTACCATCTGTGGCCTCCTGCAGGTCATTGTAGATATAACAATCTTGCTGCAGGTGTACATTTACAGCACATATCCTCAGAAGGCGGTATCGCACATAACACATGCAACCAGTGCCAAAGCTCTATGATGTGGAGAACATGTACTGTGTAATCGTGTGCTTCCCAGTCCTAGAACTACTTCTGCACCACTGCATATGTATAATGCATGTACCCAAAACACACGTTGGGGCAAATATCTAAAAACGGGAGTAATGATATCTGGAGAATAATGAAGCTCACTTGTCCATTGACATCAATCCAGTTCCAACTTTGTTGCTGTGAGAAAAGAAAGAAGAAATTCTATTGGTTATGTGCAATTCTTCCACTTTTTCTAAATTTCCGTGCTTTATTTCATACAATGGCTCCATGTAGGTCTGTTAAAAAAAATGTTCAGTATACCTTAGCAACCAATCAGAATAAATTGGACTGCAGTAAATCTGATTGGTTGCTGTGAATGACCAAACTGCAGAGTATCTTTGCCCTTTGCATGGCCTTATAAATAAGCGTGCTCACAATTTTACCTTTCAGTGCTTTGTGATGTTCTAAGGGGCTTATTGATAATGGTTTGAAATGGGCAGTGGCCTCTTTTTTTATCTTTTTTCTTTTTAAATCTATTTCATAGTTTGGTCTGTCCAGGTTGCTATGGTCATTCCTTTTTTTTTAAATAAAATTTGCCAAATTGACATTGAGGAAAAAAAAACTTGGCACTTTTGTTCTAAGCTTTTAATGGTCATGTTCTGATTTTTATAACTTCTTGGCGTGTTTGCTGCTTTTACAAATGCCTAAGAAAATTATGTCAAAGACGGAAAACAAACCAAGAAGATGAAAACTGACAAAGTTTCCAAATTCGTTATACACAGGCTCCTCATTCTCTGTAAATTGTAATATTTTGTCAGCTCTTTTTTTGAAGGAAATTGTTAACCTGACCTGCAGGTTTTTTTTTTTTTTTGAGGTTTTGGATTGCAAAAACATATTCTCAATGTGTGCCTGCTTTGTGCATTGATATAAATATTCCTACACACACCACATTTGCATTGGTACAAATCCGAGTCAATCCGATCCACGTAGTAAGTCCGATATCACATTATGTTGTCAGTGTTAACCTGCCAGATTGCAATCCACTTTCTCCTTTTCCAGGTAATTGCTGTGCGAGAAGCCTGGAACATTGTGCTATGCAATGTGTATTACATGGGTGGAGCTTTAGGCTCTTTCCTTTGCATTGTTCATGACTGATGGGGCTTTAGCCTCTGTGAATTATTCTTAGGGCCTTGTCTTGCATTTAGTATGTTTGATGCCAAATCAAAGTTTTAAAGCTACATTCCTAGGTAGGGAGATCTCTCATTTGTCCATTCCATATTATCTTCTATCAAATGTACTTTTCTTTGAACTGAAATCATAATTTAAAACATTGTCCTCTTAAAGACTTGGAGAGTTCTCAGCCTTAATTTATGCTGTGTGATTAAATCCCATTTTGTCTGAACCTTGGTGTATTGATGGGAATTGCTTGGATTTTAGCCTGTATTATTGCCATTATATAGACAAAGGTTACATCCAGTGTATACTTAAAATCCACCCAAAGTACGCTTTTAGAACTGGATCATGGAAGATTACAGAACTTTGTCGTGTACATTTTACTTGTATAAAGAGCTCTGTTATTAGGATCTACTGTAGTACTGGTTCCCATTGACTGTAGAAGGGGAAGAGTAGGTGGTGGAAGAGACATGAAGTCTATTGCAGCTCAGCTGTAGACGTTAGTACACATTTTCACACCTACACAGGTTATGTGTCAAGGGAGGTTGCAAACCTCTAAGATTTCTCGAATTAAAGACAATCTGGGTTGGGGAATTCACTAGGTTCAGGTTTTGCCTCTGCTTCCAGACTTGTAGCTGTGGTATAATGGGCTGCACTACTGCTACTTACTTTTCAATAAAACTTTATTGTTCACTGATCAACAACATCCTGTTGTAAACCGGCTACTTCACTGACACATTTCGCCCTCATGCAGCGCTTGGTAAACTCCCCATGGGGGCGAAACACAGGGAAGAACCTTTGTCCAGAGGGATGTTGCTCAGTGGACAAAAAGATTTGTTGACAACTAAGTGACAGTTGTGTGGCCTGTTTTGGCATATTCAGCTGACCGTAGATAAATATGCCCAATGTGAATTGCTAAATATAACAATTTTTTTAACTTCTAATTTAAAAAGAACACTTCAGTTCCTAAAATTGAAAAAGACAAAAATATCTGGTTTTGCTCATAGTTTACACAGAGCCAAATCTTGACCTGACGTCACTGGATTCAGCCAAAGGTTTCCCTAGTTATGCTCCCCCAAAGTCAATATGTTATTTTTACATGGAATCCGTTAAACTTAGCCATATTGTATGCAATAAACTGTTCAAACAAGAGAAATGTCTTCTCATTCTTAAATCTTTACCTCTTACCCTCCTAAACCACAGTACGTTAGTACGTTCGCTGTTTTTGCTGCTTGCTCACAGATCGGAGATGATACCATTACCTCATTAGATATTTATAAAAGTTGTTTTCTCTCATACATGCAGCTCACTTTTATCACCGATGGGTACAAAGAAATGTCATATATAATGTATAAAGGAAACGCTGTGCCTCACACTTTGCCACGCCTGGGCATGATGCTGTTGTACCCAGTGGTAAAATGCCCATGACAGTGTATCTAGATAAGACTGTTTTGTGGTTACAGCCGTCACATGAATGTTACTCTATGACACATCCACATAAAGATGTTACTTTTTTACAGATGTTTCTGCTCCAACAAGCAGGTTACAATCTAAAATCATTTTACAATGAATAATATTAAACTGCTATATATGCATTGTGGTTAAAATGCCTTGCCAGACCACACAGATTGTCTATTCACCGTGGGATACAAGATTATTATAAAATGTTACCTTCTTCCTTTACCAAAATACGCATTTTACCTTGATTCTCTTTTTAATGTAATGGATAATGAATGACAAACAATGAAAATTTATATATTTATGATTGCCAGCAGTAGATATGGCTGCTGATTTCTTTTATACGCAAACTATGTTTCAGGGCTGTAGATACTTTTAGTATGGTTTAGCTTGAAGAAAATGTGTCAAAGAAAACGGAATATTTCAACATAAAATTGTAAGTTGCAAAAAAATTGTCATTTATATTATGTAATGGCAATAAAATATATAAATGGCTTTTCTTTCTAGTAATGTACACTGTTGTTCTTGTTTTGTGTTTATTCTGAGTTGTTTTTTTTTTTAATGCATGGAATCTGTAGTGATGGGTATGCACAATATTTGCCTGCCAGCATGCCTTTTCCTAACAGCATGCCACATGGTATATACGGTTTTGAAGTTGACCTCAGACTGACCACCTACCACAACATCCTTGCCATGCAAAGTAGATCAGTGTGGAAACTAAGAATCATCTAATTGGGGCTGAATTGTATAATTTAGAATGTACCCTCCATCCAATATAACAAATACAAAATTAAGATATGGGGAGCTTTGGTTTTCAGATACTTTCAACAGACGAATGGGGGTAAAAACTACAAGTGAGTTAGATTCCATTATTTATTAGATATTGATCCCCTTTCCTTCCCACATATCCTGATATGCTGAACTTTGCATTTGGATTTATACATCAAATCCCAAAGGTATTTAATTAGTTGGTCATTCTTCACTGACATTTGCTTATTAGTGCATTGTTAATAGTCCCTGTATTTTTATGATTTTTCACTCTATTAGTTCTTTCGTGATGTGTGTGAATTAAAAATATAGTCCATCTCTAACACACTGTCCTATGAAAACCGTTTGAAAGACAATTATATGTCTGTAGGCACACATAGCCAAATTTGGCTGGATCCACTATTCATTTAATCTCTATTTGTGCCTACAGACATATAATTGTCTTTCAAGCAGTTTTCTACATAATTTGCTGACCCACTAAGAAGTTGGGCTTGAGGTGTCCGCAATGCGGAACTCTGCCCTGCTCTATTTGCTAAACACAAATCGTCTCTCAAGATACCCATCCGTGTTTAGGGACCCGGTCACAAATAATATGATTGTGCAAATGTCTCACTGTAATCTGGTGTCTATAGCCAATTTTAGGACCACACCTGAGCAGACACTTCAAGAAAGACTGATCCCATGAGTAGAATGAAGCAGCTGGGATTGATTTTCCAGGGTGGCTCTCATTGTCACACCAAGATGTATGCACATCACTTAACCATACTCCTTTAGCTACTGCACATTTGTTTAATGATCAGATATTTTTGGGCATACTTTAAGACCACTTTATTTATCCACAACAGTCCAGAAGGATAGGCTTTGAAAGTGAAATACAAAGCTATCTGCTAGAATGTAAATAGAAAGTACCTTTCCTTCAGATTTTCTGTAGATGGTTGGCTGAACTGAAGCCCTCTGTGAAGCCTATATATCCTGATCAAATTAAAATAAATAGACTTTATAATAATTGGATCTTTTAAGGTAAACACACCAACATGATTTATACAGAGATGGAGTGTCCTAAGTAATTAGTAGTCACATCCATGCCATTGTCGATGTCTTGGAGTGTCTGATCATTCCCCCAGTATTCTACAAATGGAACAATGAGCACTCGCAGAGGAAAATGCTGGCTGGAAGAGCTTGGGATAGAGCGGGAGCATCAAAGGCAAAGAGCTTTTCTCTCCTGTTCATTGAAGGACACAGGGAACAGATCGGAGATCATGTACTGTAGGGTAATATTGCCACCTGCAGGAGAAGGACGCTAGGCACAAAACTAAAGACCAATTACAGCCTGGGGCGGCCCCTGCCGGTGGCCAAACCTCCCACCTGCTGACAAGTCTCCAGTTAGCAACAAGCAGTAAAGGAGTACACACCCACACAGAGGGGCGGGCCCTGTGTCCTTCAATGAACCGAGAGAAAAGGATTTTACGGTGAGTACCAAAATCCTATTTTCTCAGGCTGTAATTGGTCTTTTAGTTTTGTGCCTAGCGTCCTTCTCCTGCAGGTGGCGATATTACCCTACAGTACATGATCTCCGATCTGTTCCCTGTGTCCTTCAATGAGCGGAGAGAAAAGGATTTTACGGTGAGTACCAAAATCCTATTTTCTCTATATTCAACCTACTTTGCTTCCTCTTTTTAATTCCCCATTTCTGGCTTTTCAAAGTGTGCTCTATTACGAAGAGGGAGAATGGTAAAGTCGAAAAACTGCTGAATTACCAAGTATAAAGCACTGCTTGGATTTGTAATGATTCAAATGTGGTTTCCTGTATGTTCAGTTATAATCTATAAATATAACCATGTTATTTTTAAATCAGAATATTTCATTCAGATCACCCGCCTCACACGTATATCATGGAAAAAAAAAAAAGTCTATGGAGCTTAATATCAGGAAAAGTCTTTTCTAGCCTTCATGCTTATAAGATGCATATCATTCATCAGGAATGTAAAGGCTTCTATAGGCAGCTAAAGCAACTGCAAGCCGCTTATCCCCCGATTCCACTGGTTTAGGAATCACTATTCTGTGGTTGGGTATCCAGTGTTCTGTTACTTTTACCTGTTGGGTTCCTTGTCTACAGTTATTACAATTCACTTATTTGCAATGGTAAGATTGCATATATACCTTGTTATCAAGATCCAGTTAAGATAATTACTTAGGGGTTTATCTTTATTCTGTAGTTGGTACCCATAATTATTTTATGTATGTCTTTATAACTAATAGTTGGGTAAGAAGTATTTTTATCTGTTAGTAAAACTTGGATTATGTCTGATATAGCCAATTCCTGCCAATACAATATGCCCAGTGAGTGTCTGCAGCATAAGATAACACTAGAATGGTTTATTATAAAAGTCATACTGATGGTGATCTTCAAAGCAGAATCCAATCTACACTAAAGTCTTTGTAGATTTGTCATCTTTGGGAACTTGCACAGCCTCAGGACCAGATAGAGAAAGCTTGGATTCATGTCAGAGGTTGGAGAGAGAGAGAGAGGAGGATTTGAAGATAGTGAAGTTGTTTCCGATGATGTAAGCGAGAAGGGAAAGAACTGAAAAACTGCTGAGAAATAAAATAAAGTGCATGTGCAAGTAAAAAGTGGGAAAGTTTGAGAATGAAGGAATAAGTAAAAAAAAGATGATGAGGACTATAAAGGACTTATGTCCTGCGCGAAAAGTCGTGTTTGAAATACATACGTTCCTCCCCCCTTTTTATGTATATATATATATCTTTTGTATATACATATGCCATTGTTTATAAACCTCTGTGAGCATGCGCTCTACGTTAGAGTGTATGTACTAGCTGTATTTCTATATTTGGAAAAAAATTGATAAAAATCTTATGAAACTAAAAAAGGACTTATGTCCTGGTCATGCAGTTATATTAATTTTGTACACTGAACATTTTCACTACCCATGTAGTAGGAAGCGCAGAGAAGCAGTCATTTGACATACTTGCTAAAGCGCCTGGCCAATTTTATTTGTTTTCTGTCTTGTGTACCAAACATGGATTGTCGCTTCCCCAACACAGATTAGATTTCTTTGGACAAGTGACTTGTAATTTCATATTTAAACAGCATTATTGTTTGTTTATAAACCCGGGCCTTGTGACCTGTAAAGTAAAAAAAGATGACATTCCATGACTGTTCTATTTCATATGGGGACAGCTTTTGTCTACTGAATGAATAAAGGCAGCACTGGAATAATGATGTCACTATTGGGTGCCAGGGATCCCTTCACTTTTACTAAAGACATTGACCTGAAGCAGAAGCTATGTTTAAAAAAATTGAATTTCCCTTTATGTTATTAGTACTTGAAGATGTTTTTAAAACTCTTATTAGGTTTTAGAAATGCATACAAAAATAATTGAATACAATTATTCAGACAAAATAGATAACACTCTTATATTAATGGAGGCAGGCAGATGCCTACTGGCTAGCATCTCTCAGACATGTGACCACCCATGGAAACGACCATTGACCAAGTGTAAGAGGAGTTTATTTTTGCTTTGTTGGCTGCTTTTTTTTTTTTCCCCCTCTGTTCCATTTTTGCTTTAGAACAAGTGCACCAAGGTTGGTATAGAGATATAGTATATATCTGTAGTCTAAGCAACTTCAGTCCACACTGTAATTCCTCAAAGATGGATATCTAGGTGGCTGAAGGTACAATAAACCACTCACCTTTTATCACACAAAAGTCTTCTTTCAGCCTGTTCTGAGGAACTTTCAGTAACATTAGTGTCTAATGAACTCTTCCGATCTAGACTAAAGTTGGGTAAGTATGTTCCAAATATCTGACATTGATCTAGGCCTTCAAAAAGATTTACAGTAGGATCACTCAGTGAATGGTCTATTTGAAAGTCTAGTGATCCCTACTATTCCAGTGGATATTTAGACCGGATTTGGGGATGTTGCAAATATACTCTGTGCCCTCTGATCTAGCCTATAGAAACTACGCAAGACCAGTTAAAGAATATGCTTGAACAATCTCTGTTATAATATCACTTTACTGAAACTGCCATAATGTTACTATGTTCATGAATACATTCCATAAAGGGTATATTAGAAACCGTTTAGCATATCACATCTGCAACATATGTTTAGCAAAAATAAAGTTTTCCCTTTGTTGTCTACTCCCAACAGTGCTCCGTTTACAAATTTTTTATGCAGTTTGTATTTTGTGCATTTCAATTGCTTATGTGTAGTTTACACCAAATACAAGGTACAGTTGTCTGTCAAATGTGCTGTATGCTTAGTTGTGTCCATTTTTATATTTTGTAATAAAAATTATATGCTTTGTCTTCGTTATTTTAGCCAAAGTTGCCTTTAAAGCTATAAACATACTTAATGTGTGTCTGTGTCTCTTTTCTTCAATTGATGATTTGGCTATCTAATTGGCTAGACTAATAATAAAACACAGGCCATTATTATAACTATAATTACTCAACTACATTCAAAACATAGAAATGGGGATACTTTCCGCCAAAACGTTGACATTTTTTTTCTTTTGATATCGTTAATATAATTTCTTTAATAGCCCTAACAATGTTGAATTCATTTTAACTCATTTATAAAGTGCTGACACCTTTCTTGCAGTTTATTGAACTGAACCATTCACTTCACATTAGGACCAATTTGAGTGCAAGTCGGTATGTTTCAAGACTCGCATAGGAAACCTCTACAATCTTGGAAAGAACAGGAAGCAATATGCCTGATACTAGGAAAAAAGGTAGATTGTCAGGCTAAACCTGAAACACCTTTCTAGCCCTCTAATTATGCTGCCTGTACCCACCGCAACGCCAGCAGTGCTAGTTTTCAGGCTCACCTACTATATGGCTGCAGCAGTGTTCGTGATCACGCTGACCTACTATACATTTTTGCCTTATGAGGCAAACAATGTTTTGTCTCAAATCTCCTGCTTTCTCTGTCATGCATAGTTGCATTATTCAAGACTCTACAAGATCTTATGGAGTTGTGTTACCCATACTTTTTTAGGGTTTCTATTCAAACCTGTCTAGCAATCCAAAAGGAAACCGGTTGATTCGTTAAATGTTGGACCTCTAGGCAGTCAGTGGCCATGTTCCCCTCAGAAATTTCCATATACATTCGCTTTGTTTGGATTCCTAAATCAGAAAATAATTCCTGGCCCTGTACATTCAATGTGCATATCAAATCATTCTCCCGGGATGATTCAAGCACATTTATTGTGCACTTTATTTCTATTATGATTACATTGTAATATATAATTATACAACTCATAATAATGCAGAATTAGTGGGACCCTAAGCTTGTTATCCTGCTCTCTGGTGGCCAGTGCGTGCTTTCAGGTGGCCAGAGGTGGGTTCTCAGGTGGCCGGTATGGGCTGTTAGATGGTCATTCGTGCAGGCTTTCAGGTGGCTGGAGCTCTCACCAGGGGTCCAGAGAATATCACTGGCGGCTACGGGCCTATTTGCAGGGGTGGGCATGGAGCGGGAGCTCCACACACCCCTATGTTAATCCGGCCCTGGCTGTGGAGACTGCTGACGGCTGTGGCCGGGTGACCCCTGTTCTATGGGATGGATGAACTTCCTACGTTAATAACTGGACACTGGCGAGTGAATATCTTCACACCTGTCAGTACACCTATTATGACAGAAAAAGGTAGACTGCTATTGTTGATCTCCTGAAAATGCAATCTCTGACTTCAATAATTTGAGTCCCTAACCTTAATAACGCTGCAAGTGAAGCTAAAATTCCTGGCTTGCATACCTATTCCAGGATAAAGATCACAGTATTGAAACCACTGCATCAACATGGAGGCCAGACAACTGATACTTTTAGATTAAAAAGGCCAGCAGTAATAGCCTACATGCTCCTTCAGTGCAGGTTTCCTTCAAATCCCAACGCCTCCTTCCCCATAGAATAACCTTTCTTCTTCATTTTAAGTATAATTACCCCAGAAGTCTTCCACACTATCACCTGACATGCTGGGTACCTCTTTATCTCTGTCAGTAGTAGGTGGCCATCAATGAATGTTGTCATGTTGTGACATGTAAGCAGCATTTGCATTTTCCTGTGAGTCGGGGCTTGCTCTGGAGTTGTCATTGATCGCCTGAACTCACAAGAAGTGGTAGAATGATATTGGGTGTCATATAACATGGAAAACAGTGGCCACCAGGACATCTTTTGAGTGTTCAGAGAGTAATACTTTAAAACATTTGATTTCCCAAGATAGGAGATAAAAAAAAAAAAAGAATATCATTTATCAAAAAAACCGTGAAGATCTTTAAAGTGTATCTATCTACTGTAAACTCAATAGCCAAAATGTAGTATATTGCAGATTACCAGTCCTTAGAGGTAGTGATTGCATTCTTTTCTTCTTTTTTTTTTGGTAAGCTTTCTTTCCTTTTTTTGGCCTGGTGAGTCTGTCAGTAACACACCTGCACAGTAACAGTCCTACTCACTCGCCCTTCTGTATCAGGAAACAGAAACAATAAGTGTGCAGCAGAATTCCGCCTTTCTGCTATTATTCATAACTTGGAGAAGCATGGTGGCATAGTCCTCAGAGTAATGTAATTGGTAACAGTCAGCACAGGGAGCACAGGAAGTTATTAGCTCACAGGATTTTCAACAATATTAACAGGTATTTTTTTCAGTCCTTAATTAAGCTGATATATTAAAAGCTTTCAATGGTATATTTAACAGACCAAAGGAGACCAAACAAGAGACGTTTATTGTTTAGAGTTTACCTAAACGGAGCCCAGACTGGCTCACACTGTTTACCTTTCCGCTACCCAGTGTTCCACTGGGCAGGGGATTACAGAGGTTAACACTTTGACTGAGCTGTCACTGACCACTTCCATCTATGGTTTACATTACAATCAGGATTCAGTTAGATCAGGGACGTCCAAACTGCGGCCCTCCAGCTGTGGTGGAACTGCGAATCCCATGAGGCTTTGCAAGATTCTCACAGACATGACTTCCGGAGAGAGATACTTCATGGGATTTGTAGTTTCACCGCAGCTGGAGGGCTGGAGTTTGGACATCCCTGAGTTAGATGGTCTTCCTATTTTGTGACTATTGTGATAGCCAATCACAATGTAAAACAGAATGTCACAGGCACACCAACCAATGTGGTCAAGTGTTCGTCCTTTATGGACACATAGGGGTTGATTTACTAACCTTATAAACACACCACGAACATGTATACACCTCTGTAGTGTGTTCCCTCCCAGCATGATCTATGGGTGGAATCTAAACACCTTTGTAGTGTGTACACACCCAGCAGGTGTGTTTGTGCAAAGCCCTGCCCTGAATTGCAAGGTGATGTTGTGTAAATTAGCTCTACATTGTGTTGCTTGCGTTGATGAATGCAGGAATGTAAATGCATGAGCTAACCATTTTTGTCTAAATTGTGAAGCAGCATTATATATGCATCATGTGCATGATTTTTCCATATATGGCATTAGTGGAAACATGCTTATAGAGACTTTTTGGTTGATAAATACGCTTTGCTGTGTAAAAATCACACGCACCTGGTGTGTGCGTGTGTTTAGGTTAGTAAATCACCCCCACATTGTCACATTGAAGCTTCAATGTGACAATATGTGTCCATAAAGGACAAACACTTGACCACATTGGTTGGTGTGCTGTTGACATTCTGTTTTACGCTTGATGCCTGCGCTGCCATCCGCTGTCACTACAGCTTCCCTCTTCAGGGGTTTTTAGGTAAGGAGTGTGGCAGGACATCCTAAAGCCAATCACAATGATCACATGATCAAGAATTTTCCTACCAGCCTCAATATCCCCTTAAAGGGCCAGCTCCCACGGCTGAAAAGTGTTATTATTAAACTAATGCAGCCACCAAATCTAAGGACTGGTAAGTTGCAATATATTACATTTTTGTTTTTGAGTTTACATATACTTGAAGCTTCATTTAAATGTTTGTTATGTTTCAGTTTTTGGTATGTAAATTGGTTATCTCCTAAGCTAGACACATGAGGTGCTGGACCCAGGCAGAATGAAGTACTGCCATAGGCTAAAATTGTAATTTAAAGTAAACTTATCCACTAAATGGTGATATTTAACAGTTGACCTCCAGACATATAACCCTATTTGAGGATATATTTGTCAGCATCTGGCAAGCCTAAGATGATAGCTCAAGAGCAGGATCTCTGAACAATTGTCCGTATTGGGTATAAAACTGATTAAACAGAACAAGAGACTCTGCTCATCTTCATCGCAAATGAAAATACCTTGCACATTATTGCAAGGCCTGTACATATATTAGCACTTTATACATTTATAGATAATACTTTTCATACATTTTACATGGTTTTGGGTATTTATTATTCCATTTTAAATTCAGCTCAAAATAATAATGTATAATAAAACATACATTCTTGAAAAAAGCTACAGGAAAGGTCAGGCTGATGAGTTTGTCCCAATTATTTTTGTCCTTGATTAAAACTGGTCTGGAACTGTCAGCTTGCAAGGGAGCCTTTTTGAGTTTCAGTTCCAACACACTGCTAATTAAGGAATTTGCCATATTTACAATCTTGAGTCATCTTAATTAAAAGTGATTCAGGAGAAAGATAACAAGTCTGTGGACAGATCTCTAATGTTTTCAAAGCTGGAAACAATGACTATTCTGACCACTGTCAGAGGTACTGTATATTTCGCTGATGTTTGCCGCCGCAAAGACTGTAATATTTTATCTGGCAGCATTGCACAGGTTTGCAAAACACATGAACAAGACTGTACTGCAAAGCACCTTACACAAATAAAAACAAACGTTATTAAAGTCGTTTGTTCAATGGATTTCCTAGGCTGACGAGTTTCCTATTTTTTTTTTAACATAAATTATAAATCTCCTCCATGCTATGTTCACGTGAGATTAAATTAAATGTGTTTGCTGTTAAAGCTGCAGAAATAAAAACTGATTAAAGTTCTACATCTGTCCTTTGCTTTCCTACCGTAAAGTAAGAAAGGTGATATTAAACTGGAGGATAAGAAAGTGTTTGTGGTGCCCACAGCATCCTATCATCCCCAGCTGCCATGAGTGTCGTGGCCAGACCTGTCTCAGATACAATCTACAATTGAAGCATTAGATTTGGTCAGTTAAAATTGAACTCCTGGCAAATATAACAGATGCAAATTAATTATGTTCTACTCTGTTTTCAACTGTACATCATTAAATTTATTTTTTGTAAAAAATGCAAGATGTATAAGCACCTGCATCTCGTAGGCCCTGTACAGCAGAACTCCGACTAATAAAGGGATTAGCTGAAGCCAGTCAGTTGTGCTACAGTGCTCACCTACTAACAAGGGACACGTGGATTGGATGAGAGAGCAGGCACAGCATGGAAGAGACACAAGCTGGGATAAACCAAAATTTCTGCCAAAATTGCTTTGGGCAAAATGCTCAGTAAAAAAAAAAAGTCAGAGAAAGCTTCACCACTAAGGTGCTGGATGCAAGCTTCGGTCTGTGTCTCCTCTGGTTCCCGTCTGTGTCGGCAGAGGCAGCGGGAATCAGAGGGGGCACAGCCGATCCAGCTGTGAAATTTTTGCTGATCCTTACATGCACTGCTCAAACATTGTTGTGATCAGTTCTTATCACACCGATATTTGTACATAACATAGTATTTAGTTACCCCAATTATGAATGAATAGGAAGTCCTTTACATCACTTCCTGTTCATTCATGATTGTGGACATAGTAACTGATACTATCTCCCGACAGGAGCAGATCAGTATAGAGGTTTCCTGTTCATTTATAACAGGGGCTGCAGAAAAAGA